CTTCATCAGAAAAGGGTCTGATGAAGGGTCTAGGCCCGAAACGTCAGCCTCTCTGCTCCTATGATGCTGCTTGGCCTGCTGTGTTCATCCAGCCCTGCACCTTGTTGTCTCGGATTCGCCAGCATCTGCAGTTCCTACTATCTCAGAATTGTTTCCATCTGTCCAAAGAGTGGAATTTTCATATTTGGGATACAAAATGGAGAGTGGCAGTTTGGCAACCAGTTAAAGACCCTGAATTGTTTTATTTGACTCTTTCAATATTAAATCTTTGCTCCCCAGCTGAAGTTGAAGTTGGTATGTATCATGTAGCTGAGTTGCTCTGTAAGAGCCAACATTGTTGCGTACTATCACATCCACTGTGCAAGTACATTGCTTATGGTGCTTGGAACTCAGATGTGGCTTTGATGTTGCTGTGTGTAAACTGAAGTGGGAGGGGGCACGTACCTGGCAATGAAATTGAATCTAACAACAGCAGTCTGAAAGTGGATTGATCTTCAGCGTAAACAAGCTTATTGAGATTGCCCATTTGGTGCCAAAATGATGGCCAGCTCTGCACCGTGAACTTGGGCCCACTGGGAGTTGTAGTGAAGCTGCCTAAAAGGATTTCTGTTGAAAACCTTAATTGTTATTTGTGATGAGATTTTCATCCATTGGTACGAGTGGGGCTCAGATCCAACTCCCTGAGGCAAAATGATAGTCTTCTATGATCCTCTGCCACCACTCATCTATTATTCAAGACACCTCTTAAATAGAATTTTCAAATGGATCTAGTTTAATTCTCCTTAAGGGTATTTACATATCATGAATGAGACAGCTTTGAAAGAGCTCATTGATGCAACAGGTAGACATAATCAGGAGATGAAGTCACTTTTGGTATATTTTAACAATGAAAGCTGTAGATTGATCCTATAAACTTGAAGTTCACAGTATTTTGGACCATATTTTATCAGATCTGTCCTGTTGTCACAGAATTGTGTGCATAAATAAAAATCAATTGTGGTTTACCATGTTTTAACGAGAAATTGCTGTATAGAAACACTTTGGTCACAGATAGGGTAGATTTTGTATTCTTCTGCAATAGTCAGCAGCAGGGAGCTCTGAGATGGAAGCTGAAAATTGTTTTGTATTTGTAACTGTCTCACATCACATCACAGCATTGATGCAAATTTCGCATCTCAGAGCATGATCATAATGGAAAATACTGCTTTGGGTACTGGGGTCAGGTATGATACTCCCCAGTTCTCCTCATCTAATCGGGGTGTTTAAACTTTACTAGGATTTTGATGAAGTAGACAGAGGAAATTTTTTTTACTGGCAGAATAGGCGGTAACCAGAGGACAAGAAACAAAGGGGGAGATGAGGAGAATTTCATTTAATACAGTAAATTGTTGACATCCCAAATGTGCTGCCTGAAATGGGCGGCACGGTGGCTCAGTGGTTAACACTGTTGCCTCACAGCACCGACTGTCCATGTGGAGTTTGCACATTCTCCCTGTGTCTGCGTGGGTTTCCTCCGGTTTCTTCCCACAGTCCAAAGACGTGTAGGTTAGGTGCATTGGCCGTGCTAAATTGCCTGTAGTGTCCGGGGTGAGTAGGTCAGGTGGATTAGCAATGGGAAATGCAGGGTTACAGGGATGGGGTGTGTCTGGGTGGGATGCTCTTTGGAGGGATTGGTGTGGACTCTAAAGGCTGAATGGCCTGCTACCATACTGCAGGGATTCTATGAGGGGATTGTGAAAGCAGTTTAAATAATAGCTTTCAAAAGGGAATTGGATAAATGTTTAAGATGAAGCAGTTTGTAAGAAGAAGAAAGAGTAGGGGTACAGAACTAATTAGAATGTTCTTTCAAAGAACTAGTATAGTCATGTTTTCAGTATTGTGGATTGAAGTCTGTGGTTTTGCACATCAAGTTATTGATTTTGGCTGTACTGCTACCTATACAGTTCCAGTAAATGAAAAGACAAATAAACTAATGAGTGTTTAATTCATAGCATAAAGCATTTCATATTGATGGCAAGTATCAGCTTGTTTGGTTTATTTTTTGTGCAGTGGGTGAAAGGTTTAACAAAAGAAAGAAGATATTTACATTTATATATATACCACTCTCATGTCATCCTAAATGCTTTACAGCTAATGGAAGCATCTTTGAAGTGTAAAATGTATGGAAAGGCGGTAGACATTTTGCACACAAAAAACACACACAAACAGCAAATGTGATAATGACTAGATAATCTGTCATAGTGATTGATTGAGGGTAAATATTGATCAGGACACCAGATGGAATCCCCACCCTCTTCCAAATAGTACCAGGCATCCACCTGAGAGGAAGACAGACTTTCTTTGATGTCATCTGAAAGAGAAGGACCCCTCACACCCCCAGTCCTCTATTGAACTGTCAGCCTTCATTTCTACTCAAGTTTCTGGGGTGGCTCTTGAACCTGTAGCTTACTTCGATGCAAGAGTGTTGTCACTGAGCTGGCACAAAACGTTTAAGAAATAACTTGAGAAAATCTACAGCTTTTTGTTGCATAAACATTTTGTGTCTTCATAAAATGGCCACACTCCACTCTATATGTATTCTTTAGAGAAAGCATTTCTGTACTGAATGTACAGTGCAGCCAAATTTGTAATGCCAGTTGCTATTCTGTAGATTCTACTCTATGTCTAACATCTACCACCACACTCCTTTTTTAGCTAAGAGAAAGGGATGTGGGCACAGAATCTGTTCTCACAGATCTGTGATTAACAGTGGTTTGATTTTAAGGGCATAAAGTTTGGGGATTTTCTTTTCTTGATGTTTTTCTTCCCCTTCTATTTTTCAATCAAGTCATGCCCCATCTAGCTGTGTGTCTGAAGAATTGATCAAACCCTGCAACCAAGCAAGCTAGTTGGAGTGATGGGCAGCTTTGGGAGTTGATTTGCAAAATTCTACTTGGGAGTCAGAGGCTCAGCCTGTTTGAGCTAACAGTTTACCCCAAGAGTATACTTCTGTTAATTGTATCATTTTGTGTGGCAAGGACACTCTATACATTAGAGTATTGTACAATAGTTGAGGCCCATTAATTGGGATGTCGTTGTGGAGATGTCTTTATCAGGACCATTCCCAGTCAGCAATGCTCATCAGAACTGATTAAATACAATAGAACTCAATGTGATGCCTGAGAACATTGCCTCTTAAGTAATCTCCTCATTAACCAGAACTTCATCAACTGCTTATTGAAGGAATGGAATCATCGATGATAGGTTATTTTTAGGTGTTCAACCCTAAAAATGAAATTCTGTGCTCTATATAAATAAACTGTGTATTCTTCCCAAAATCTAATTAAGTATAACATGCTGTTTGGGACATCATATTACAAAAAAATGTAGATTGTTTCACTGTGACCCAGGCTGTAGCAGTACAATTAGATCTCTGTATCTGCATTTAAGCTTTAGCATAAACTAATGACAAACCTCAAAAACAATTTGAAACTCAATCAGTTTAACTCAGGAGGGTAAATTTAATATGATAATTTGTCTCGTTGAATGATATTAGCTTAGCAGGATAGCATGCAAATATATGACCCTCACTTAGTGTCTTCAGTGGTTGCTGCGCTGATGGATATTTCAGTCCTGATAAGGAACTTTAGGGAACTTTGCAATTCTGCTGAATGTTCTCTTGCAGGTCTGAGATCTGAACCAGATCTCATACTGGGTTGATCTTCGTCTCCCCCTTTCCATAATTTGCCTCCATTCGCGAAGTGACAGCAAGACACAAATAACTGTTTCTAATAATATCAGATGGAGTTGTGGAGGACAGCATTTTAATGTAGTAAACGACCTCCCTGTGGGGTTGTTATTGCCACTACAGAACATCAGTTACACAGTTGCAACAATAGTCTCTTAATTGATTCGTTTAATTAGCAGGAGATGAAGTTTGTGCTGCATCTTGTCATCCAGTATCACGGGAGGGGGCTCAACAGCCTGTGCTGTCTGCCACCAAAGAATGTTTTCACTTGTCATGTTCATATAAAGCTGTAATTATATGTAAATGAAAACTGCCAAAACCATTCTAAGTTTTATTTGACAATGCAAAGTGCTGTAGAGCTGATTACAAGATGAGACTTTTAAATGTTGCTTCATCGTTTGGTTGCTGTCTATCATGCGTTGGATCAAATTTCAGAGGTAGCAGATATTTCTTTGGAAATAATTGATCTTAGGTGCTCTTTTATTGATCAAGAAGTTATTTTATTTATAATATGTAATGAGTGTTTTTAATTAATTTTTACATTGGGTCCTCTATGTTGATAAGGAGGAAAGCCAAAAATACATTATCTCTAGGACTGGAAGATGGGGAAAGATATGCATGTAAGACGGCCTTGGCCACATTTCAGTCTAAGTCTTGTACCAATGATAATGGAATTCTACTTGTTCCCTACAGACTGATCTTTCCTTGTGTCATGTTTATGTTGAATATTGGTCAGGAGCTTGAGTTTTCTGTAACTGAAGTCTGAA